GATGAACATGGCTTACAAGATGATTGGACGGCTCATCGAGCAATAGCAAGTGCGGTTTCTTGAATGTGATCTTGGCAAATGCCACTCTGCTTTTCTGACCCCCTGATAAAGTGTACATTGGCTGCAGTGCCAGGTTTCCAGTGACCCCAAGAGAACCCAGGTGACTTCTCAGCTTTTGTTCCGGTACTCCCTGCCATCATTCAATCCACATACCAGTTTACCACATATTGAAAAGTCAAGTGGGTCTATATTTTGATTCAACTATTTTATACAACTAAACTTTGTCCGTAAGAAGACAAACAGAAATACTATATAAACTATTTCCTTGTTAACTAAATTATGATCTGTTAACTGAAACAAGCTGATGAATCAGACGGGCTTGGAAACTTACCGGGTAACAGCGCATCATATATAGAAGAGGATTCGAAGAAAGGTCTAGCCCATCCACATGGTGCTGGCTAAAGACTGCAACTCTAACCTGTTTAAACGGACATATCAATACATCATATTAGAGCCACCGACAAGCTTAGCTTAGCATTAACAGACCAGGAGAACGCGCAATCAAAAATCTGACTATGTTATTGCCAATGAACATTGCAAAAACCAACGCTGTTTTAGTAATATGCTAGGAGGGTGTTCAATAATTTGAGCATAAGAAATGGTCATCCCCATTTCCAGAGGAACGGTGTCCAATTCCTTTGTTCAGATAAGAAAAAACCAAGCCTTCTGCCATACCTTAGCAGACCGGAAAACTGTTCCAGAGCTTGGTTGCAGATCCCCAGAAATAAGTTTGAGTATAGTTGATTTACCAATACCATTCGGTCCCACCACTGCAAAACGATGAGAAGAAAACCATATAGAGAGCTTAAGATGCTAGGAAGAGCCACAAAAAATATGTTCTACACGTTCTTTAATGCTGAAAATAATGATATCCACAAATGACTGATGAAAGTTGAATAATTATAAACATGTATCATCGGCGAGATCTCATAAGTTAGGAAGGGGGAGCCTTCTTACTTGCAATACGGCTATCCAGATCTATTCCGAAATTCAGGTTCCTAAACAACAACGGACCACCAGCGTAGCCAAACGATGCATCACTGTAGAAGAGAATAAACAGTAAGAAAAAGTATCATCTGTATCCTTCGCATACCACAATTAAAGAAGTTTGTGACAGATTCAAACAGGTGGTTTCCAGAAGATGACAAACCTGAAACTGATAATAGGGGGTCCAGGCTTATCGTCAGGAGTTGGGAATTCAAATTTGTAGCTGCACAAGAAAAAACAAGAGGTTAATGTATATAATATTGGAGCTGAGAGCAAGCACCGAATGCTACTGCGGCAATTTTATCCTATACGAGAGTATAGCATCATTCCAAAATTTCAACATATCTATAAGAGGGGTTTCACTTACTCAGGATCATTAATAACTTGATCCACATGGGCCAGCCGGTCCAATGCCTAGGAAATAGACACAATATATAAGAACACCACTGATGGCCAACACATATAATCAAATAAATACTTGTAACTGTTCACACCTTGATTCTTGACTGAACAAGCGACGCTCTCTTCGCATTGAAACGAAATTTATCAATGAAAGCCTGCAGCGAAAAATAATAATATTAAATCGATATCCTTACTCAGGAAGACTACTAAACAAAGACGAGTTGAAAACAGAATTTGTAATATCACTGAGAAGAAAAGAAAAGACACCTGCATATGTGCCCGTGAACGTTCACTTGATTCAAAAGCTTTTTGCTGATTCTTCACGTGTTCTTCCCGTGTTCTTTCAAAAGTATCATAATTTCCCTTATAGGTACTTAATTTTTGGTTTTGTAAATGGATGATGTCCGTGACCACCTGCAGCCAAAAAACAACATTACAAGTGGCCAGAGATATTGGGGAAATTATAACTGCATAAAGATCAAGAGGGAAAGAAAAGTACCGTGTTCAAGAATTCCCTAGCATGTGAAACCACGATAAATGTTTTAGGCCACTTCGTTAGATATGTTTCCAACCATAAGACAGCGTGGAGATCAAGATGGTTCTACCAAAACAGAGGATAGGAAATTCAGAAAGAATTGAAAAATAGATTATGATAATTAGAAGCTCATAAAGAAAACACACCGTAGGTTCATCAAGCAGCAACAAATCAGGCTCTATGAATAAAGCACGAGCAAGCGCAATTCGCATCCTCCATCCTCCTGAAAAGGTATTTGTAGACTTCTTCTGCATTTCTGGAGTGAAACTGAGCCCCTGAAAAAATCATAAAGACAACATTTATGTTGAAATCAACAAAAGCACATGCAGAAATTAAACCGACGATAACATCCAAATCTAGCTTTTGATATGCTTTTTGTAATGATTTGCGTCCAGATATTCTTACCCTTTTCGTTATATCTATGCTATCATGAGAAACAAATATCCTAAGAGGGCAGTAGAAACTACTTAATGGTAATGGGTAACTTACAGCAAGGATACTAGCAGCCCGAGCCTCAGCAGTATAAGCATCAATTGCATCAAGCCTTTTGTATATCTCTTCAAGCCTTTGAGACATAAGATCTCCTTCAGCTGTATCTTTGGTAGGCACTATTCCATCCTTAGCTGTGGGTTCTTCCACCTCCATTTCTCTCTTCAGATAACAAAAAACATAGTCAAAATTACCACCAAAGATAGATGAAACCGGGAAAAAAGGACCCCAACGAGTCAAAATGCTAATACCAAGAGGCAATGACTCCTCTATTTTTTAAAACAAGCTTGTAGCTAACCTGCTTAGCCAATATTTGAGTTTCTTCTTCCAACAGCTTGGCTCTTTCAATATCAGTGTTAAGAACACATTGCAACGCTGTGGTGTTGTCACCAACAACTTCTTGCTCGACATGCAAAATCTGGCAGTTAGCAGGAATACCCTCTATAGCATGCATAGCCATATACCTCAAAAACGTTGTTTTTCCTGTACCATTACGTCCTACAAGCCCTGTATAGTAATAATCCAAAGAGAACAAGTACCCATTTGTAAGCAAGATATCCTTTTGGCATTCCTTCGATTCAAACAGAAAGCTAAAAGAAATAAATAATAAACCGACCATAATGGCGTCCAAAAGAGAGGGTGATAGATCCGTCCACAATGAGATCACGCCCACCAACAGAGACATTAAAGTTATCCATATGAATATCTCTGACAGCAGAGCCACCACCAGTATCATGATTAACACTAACAGTAGGCATCCCTGCTTTAACAGCTTCCATTTCAGCAACATGCTGTTGGTATTGAACCTGCACAAACAAAGAAACCATTTAAGGCTAAAATAATCAAAGGAATATAAATAAAAGAAGCAAAAGAAAATATCATTTAGTACTTCTCTTTGACGATCATCCTTCTTCTTTCTCCTCTCAATCTTAGCTTTATCACGCTCCGAGAGCAAAGGACCATCAGTAGGCTCAGGCTTCTTCTTCTTAACAGGACCGTCGTCCATTCCATCGTTCATCCGCACAGGCATGGCGAGACTCCTAACCGTTGGTGTAGGCTTCACCAATCCATGCTTCCCAAACTTATCCGAAAGTTTGTTACAAACCTACACAATCATTTTCAGATATTGATTCAAAAGTAACCAAAAACGAATCTAGAAAACAACTATTTCCGCTGATTGCTTACCAATCGGCACTCATCGAAATCGGAGACGCATTCAGCAGCGACGAGGAGCTCACCGACGGCATCGAAGGCACCTTCGCCTTCCTCGCCGAAGTCGAAATCCTCGTCGGCGAGGACGTTGATGATGTACTCCATGATTGGCTCGTCCACATCCTTTGCTCTGCGTCCAAGGACCTCGTACACCACCGAGCTCGCAACTTCTGTCATCGCCGCACACTATCTTCGTCTGATTTGAGAGTCTCAGATGAGAAAAAAGCCAAAATGAAGGGAAGGGCGAACCGTTTTAGGGCTTGATGGGCCTAGTTGGAACCTTTATGGGCCCTACTAAACCCAATGCTATAAATTTTATGGCCCAATAATAGCTGATGTACCAATAATCCCTTTTTTGTTGCCTAATATCCATTCTCATTTTTAATTGATAAGATCGAATATATTTTCAAGAATAAAATCACGGATACGTATTTGCTCTAAGAAAATTGTAGCATAAGTGATGAGTGCTCGTGGGTGCAGCAAAAACGAATATTTATGGCTTTATGGGTTTGGTAAAGGTCTTGAAAGAGATATGAATCACTCAACTTTTGTTAGGAATATATCATCAAATATATAGTGCTCTTCTTCATTATTACAATATATGAGATGACTGCCACCAGCATATATATTTATACAAAAAGGTAAAATACACTACATTAATATTAGTCCATCTATATACATTACACAAGTATGTATTCCCTATAAAAGATATGATGTATGTGGTGATATCATGGTTTCAATACTACTTTAAAGTTTAAATCAAAGATATAACCGAAACCACTTAGTACCTAAGTATGAAAACAAAGTATAGAGTTTCAGGTGTAAGTGTAACAAAAGTTTAGATATGTAAACAAGAATTATGTTTTTGATTTGATTGAACAATTAAATTCATTTAGTCATGAGATTTGGAGACAGATGTGAAACAACGATATGTCAATCTGTATACACGCAAAATGTATTACATTTGTTATGCGTACATCTATATATACTTTCATATACATATGTTATGTGTACATATATATGGTTTTTGTTAAGGTAGGAGTAAAGTAAACCAAACTGAGATATGATGAAGAGAGGTGACAAAAGAGGGTCCCTAGTGCATGTAGTTGACTTTGATAATATGTCTCATATTCATTTTTGATATAAAATGGAATTTTAACCTTCAGATAATAGGATTAATAAATAATAATAATTTATATATATTAAAAGTATCCCTAGCTTTGATTATGTTTCCATATTTAATAACAACTTTAATTACTATGTCTCCACTGCCTTACTTCTATATAACTCATCTCATCTGTCTCTATATGCTCCCACACTTTGTCTTTAAAATCTCAAGTAGTTTAAGAAAGAAAAAATACATCAATATGAGCTCTCATGCAAAAAGGTTAGTAATTTTCACTGTTCTTATTTTCGCTATCATCTCCGCTGATGTTGCAGACGCTACCCTTCGTCATATCATGAATCTCAGATCGAATAAGGTAAAATTTCTTTCGTTTTCCATTTTAAATTATACTATAATATTTCTCAAAACTCTTATATATTAGATGATTCTATGTTTCGTGTACTGCAGTTTATAAGTTGCTATTTGATTTGTTTTAATACTATTTGATACAAAAGGGTATCAAGGAGGGTAATGAAATAAAGGAGAGGGAGCTTCTGGAGTTTCACCTTGACTACGCAAGAACCGGAGCAAATCAAGATCATGAACCAGGGAAAGGAAGACCTTAATCCAACTTAATTATTCATAACTAAAATAATGAGCTTCATTAACTCTACTACTCTCTCACGAATAAGCGTCTTTACGTTTAAAGTATCTATATTTACATAATATGATGTAATATAATAGGCCAAGCTTTTGGACAGGGTTAAAGTTGCATGTAAAACATATGTATCAGCTTATGCATGCATGCATATGAATCTAAGTTCTACTATATATGTACTATTTTAAGTGCGAAGGAAAGTACTATAAATTTCGGATGATTTTGTATATTTTACTCTTCTAATGATTAAAACAGTTCAAATGGTGCAAATCATATTAGATTATACAAATCAAGTGGAATAGATACAAATCAGGACATTCATGTAGGATAAAACAAATCAAACAATGTAATATCGTTTTAAAGGGTAAAAACATTTCAAATACTCCCTCTGTTCCTTAAAGATACATATTATAGAAAAACAAATTTGTTTCTAAAAGATCAATTTTTTACAGTTTCAATGCATGCTTTATTAACTAATTGTAAATTTCAAAAAACCTATTGCACTAATTGATTTTTTATTGGTTTAAAATTATGGAAAGAAGATAAATACAAAAATATGTAAATTTATTGTGTTTTATTAAAAAGTGTAAAAAAACTAGAATATAGATCTTTATAACAGATCAAAACGCAAATATATAAATATTTTTTTGAAACATACTCTAAATATATAAAAGCAATACATAAATGGCAACAACATGGTTTTAGTGCAGTAATTATTGTCGTTTGTTTTTAATGCATTTTTCAAAATCAAAGTATGATTTTTTTTTAACAATTGACAAAACACATCTCTCTTTTATTAGTATCCACTAGTGGTGTGTCAACACTATGCACGAAGTGTCTACATTTTTAAATATTTTTGTTGTATTTCTTTTGTAAATATTTACTTATTTTTGACAAAACATTTAAGTCTGTTTTAGTCATTTTTATTTTTAAATTTTATATTTGTGACAAAAATATTTTTAGATCTATCTTAGGAAATTTATCTATATAAAAAGAAAATTAATATATCGAAAACTAAATATGTGTAATAAAATTATTTAATGGTCAAAAAAAAGAAATGAGTGAACAACACCAAATGTGTAGTGGGAGAGGATTCCATGTGGTCTATCTGCTTTTTCAGAAAATGAAAAAAAATATTGAACCCAAACATATTCCCTATTAAATGCAATTTGAAAAAAAAAAATCAATAATGATTTAAATGTAGAAAGAATGCAAGTGTATTGCACTTCTCCTACTACACCATTCGAGAACTATGTGCAAGCTTATTGGTTGATATCTCAAAACAAGTAACAATTTAATACTTTTATTTTAATACAATTTGTTTACATAATTAAATTTTAATCTTTCAAAAGAACTAAATCAATATGGATGGACAATAAGTGGACATGTGGCATATCCACAACGGGGGTGTTGAAAACAAAATTTTTACTGTTGAATTAGTGCAATGAGATTATTGAATATAGTGTTGAAACTGAAGTGAATTAATTTGTGTTAAATTTATTCAACGTGTTGAATCACCTAGATAGGAAAAGATAATGATATGTGGTGTTATTCTATTGGCTATTTCTATTTTGTATTTATTTTTTCACCATAATTGTTTGTAATGACTTTTTATATTGTAAATAAATTTAAATTTTATTTTATTTTACATCATTTTTTAGTTTTTCATATACTATAAATAGAGATTTGTTTCATTTAATTTGAATATAAAACAAAAAAATGAATATAGTTTGTTAGTAATTTTTAAATCAATTATTATTCATATTTTAAAAGTTTTAAATAGAACAAATCTTAAATTTAAACATTTAAATATTTAGTAGTTACAATAAGTAAATAATATTATAGAGTGTTCAATTTTATTAAACAAAACAATTGCAGTATATAAAATTAAATTGAATGTTGAATTAGTAGGTGGAAGAAAAAAGAATATGATGTGGAATGTTAAAAGATAAAAAGTAAAGTGTAGAATTCGTAAACTATTGTATTAGTCTAAGTAATGAATTTTTCAGCCCTTAGACTACTTATAATGGACATGTTGTATATTTGTTTCAACTGTTGAATGTTTACAGTGGACCTGTCGAAAAAAATAAAAACATTACGTGGATTGTTTGCTGTTGAGTTTATTCAACATGTTGTAAAACAAATAGTAGGATCCACAACAGTTTGTGTTAATTTTTAATTGGTTGTTGATATTAATTAGATTTTTCATATTCACCCTCTTTATTATAAATCATTTATTTCAAAGCAAAATAATTTATTTATTTTATTACATTAGATCAAAATTTATAATTTTAGATAATCTATAAATAGAAACTAGTTTTATATGATTTGGAGATATATAAAATTTCTCTTATCATAAGTTTTAAATATTTTCAAGCAAATTCTATTATGTCTTTATTAAATATGTCATAAACTTTCAACTCTAACTATTTATTTAGTTTTATTATTATTATTTGTTTTAAAAAATATGTTATAACTATTATTTTTTAGTTACAAAATCATAATATGAAATAAAATAAATAGATTTAGTGTTTATTTTCAAGAAAATCATTATAAAATATAATATGTAAAAGAAAGAGAAGATGATGCATGAACGTAAAAATGTAAAATAAGTTGTTGAAAAAACTAAACCAATATAGATAGTCTTAGAGCATCTCAACAGACTTTTATCCCTTCATTTTTTTGAAGAGTTTTACATTTCAACAGTTCTCCATCCCTACAAATTTTAAAGGGGTGAACAATATATCTTCAGATTCGAAAGTGCTTTGTTCACCCATAAACACTGTTTACTTTTCACTTCAGTCATTCTATCTATATATGTTTAATGATTGTGTATTTATTATTTCGTATGTAGCATTTTAGTATTATAAATATTATAATTATAATCTTATAAAATTATTTTGAAATAATAATAATATATTCATAAAAATTGTATACCAAATATAATAATAAACATATTATTTCACACAATAATAATACATTAAGGAAGTTTTACACAAATTAAAATTTATAATACAATCATAATATTTTACATGAAAATAATAATTACATAAGATGAAATGTTTTACATTCAAATATATATTACAATACTTAATCTACTTACTAATTTTGTCAATACTATATATTATATGTGTTTATTGTTTAATTATTTAAGTGTAATGGTTATAATTAATTATTAATAAAATTGAGAATTAAACTGTAAAAGAAGAGAAAAAATTGAAGGTCACCCGTTGTAGAACCACCTCTTCATCCTCTTATTTTAAAGGTAGACCTCATAAAAGATGAAGAGACTTGTTGGAGATGCTCTTATATATTAAATGATAAGCAAGACTATTTAAAATGATTTAAGATTCAACACCCCCACCTCATTTTTTAACATTTCACATCATCTTCTCTTTCTTTCATATTATTACTCACACACATTGAACTTTTATCCAATACAATGGTTTTTTAATAAATTTTAACACCCTATTTTTTAATTAATAATTATTTTTTTCTCTAAATTAAATAAACATAATATTTATTTATAGAGAATTTAAAATGATAATTTTCGTATTTCTAATGAGATTATTAGTTTTAAATAAGTAAATAAATATAAAAATTCTGTAGATAGTGACATACTGACATGTGTCATCGTTGACTCCCATTTTCTTCTTATTCAACATGTTAAATCTTTTCAACAACAAATAATTCACGTCATCAGTTTTCATATTTCAACACCCTCATTCTAGTGATCATTCAATTGTTAAATCTTTTATTCAACATCCCCATTGTACATAGTAATAAATGTATTTGCATTATAATTGTTGTGTGGCAGTCTCACGGTGATTTGAGAATGAGTATGCTGACGTGTCAAATGTGGAGAGATTCTCAACTAAGCTCTACATAAATGTGTTCACACTATGTACTTACTCTTTTTTTTATAAAACTCACATACAAAATTCTAATAAAATTCACACTATCCAAATTTCTCGGTTCAAATCAAAACGAATAACGAATCGAAAGCCCAAATATATATAAACTATTTTTATTATTTATGAATAGTGATGAAATATTCGTAAATTTTGATTTTATTCGTTATCTGTTCTGATTTGAACAAAAAAAATCAGATATATGTAACTCTATGAAGCAAATTAAATACTAAAATACAATATCGGTAAAAAATAAAGCAAATAACAAATACTAATATTTTTAAGAATGAATATCCATTTAGATCAGTTATATGCATATATATACATATATTTAAATAATTATATATAAGTTATATATATACATATATATATAATAGTTTATATAAGTTTTTCAATATTTTTATGTATTAAATTTATTATATTAGGTATAACAATTTAAAGGGTTAAATAATGTTTTAGTTTTGTAATAAGATGTATTATTTTCTATATTTTAGATTTTTCATTTATTTTTTTTATTTTTTATATTATTTTTGGATCCAATCAGAGATCCGTTAAAATTCTATAATTTTCCGAATAGTCGAGACACTGAATATCCGGGTGGCTACGGATCAAATCGTCACAAATACCTTCAAATACCAGGCTATTCGATCCGTGCCCACCCCTATTTACAAATACAATTTGATATTCTTTATATGCAAAAAATCATTTATATCTACGCCTATTTTATTTTTAACTACTTTTATTTTAAGAACTTTATTTATCATGTGTTGTTTTGAAAAAGTGTCATTTAATAATAATTAACAATATCTTTTATATATTTATCAATCACTTTTATATATTTATACGCACACATACATTAATTGTGCACATTGACGTGAACACCAATATAACTAAATATTCACCATAATTGAAGTATCTAATTCTATTTTAAGTTGAAATATATTTTTTCTTAGTGTTTCTTTCACGATCGACCTAATTGTAGTGAAATGATTTGTTTTAATAATTTTCCTTTCCTTTTCTTTAACTATTATCAGTTTAGGAACTATAATATGAAACCATTAGTTCGACATCCAAACTATTTAAAATTCATAGAACATGAAATTAAAAAAATAAAAATAGTTTTTGATTATCATCGGAAAAATCAAAAACATCAAATATTTTAAGCGAACAAACCTAAATAAATACTAATTTAGAATAATAGTTATATTTTAGGTGATTAAAAACAAAACAGAAAAACAACCAAAAACCCAACCGATTAACAAAAAAAAACCCAACATCTAGATTAAACATATTTGGTATTTATTTTAATAATGAGATATTCACTCACATACTGCCATTGGAGTTGCTCTAAGTCTGTTTTTCTTAGTTATGCATTAGTTTTTTTTTTTAGCCTGTGGGACTGATCGTGTAAAATGACGTATATCCATAATTAACTTGGTAAATATAGTTTAATTTTTTTCATTCCAATCAACATCTATTGATGCGGAGAAGTGTTCTTTATACATTTTGAAAATTTAACACTAAAACTCCTCGAAAAAAACAAAAGGCAAAACAAAACTCTGATCAATCCATACAAGAAATTTGGTGTACAAGTGAATAAAGAGCACTGGGTCACAAGCACATCATAGTTTCCTCTGAGCTTTCGCATGAGCTCCCAAAGTTGGGAGTCACATCATGAACTGATAGCCTCAGCGTGTTCCCCTTCGCTGCGGTTACAACAGATGACGTGTCGAGACACTCGCTGAGATCAGCATCACACGAGACCGAGACCCATTCGTTGTCATCGTCTAGATACTTGAGCTCAAACGCCGCAGTTTCTAGTTTCAGCCTCTTAGCCACTTGCTGCTTAAGTTCAGCGATGCTTACTGACTCTGGTGAGATCTTAAACCTGATGTTGTCTTCTCTGTACGTTGCCTTTATGCTCACCAACTTATTGTGGAGTGTTGTTGTGTCTTGGGAGGTCCAAAAGTTATTAGCTATTATGTTTTTAGAGGTACTGTCTGACTCGTCAAAGGCCGTTTGTTTGAATGCTTCTTGGTTTTGTGTCATAAGCCGAAAACGCGTCTCGCTAATAGGACTCACTGTGAAAGATGAGACAGATGAGAACAATCGTGATGGATCTTTGTACAAAGAAATGATGAAAGAGGTTATTTGTTTACCTTTGCAAGAAGCACGTGACGTTGATGAACCAGCACTGTCTTCCGCATCTCGGTTTTCAAGTTTGATATCTTGGAAATAACTTGTTGGCGATCTAGTGGTTGCTGGTGGTGGTTGGTTGTCCATTGGAGAGACTTGGTGAGGCCATGTTAAGTTGATTGTTCCATCAGCGCCTTGAACGGAGTCTATAACATGTTTAAGCCTCGTGAGAGATCGGTTCACCTTGTTGATTTTACGAGATGGCCACCGAGAGATCCCGTGTTGCCTGCAAATGCGTTTCATTGTTGTTGGACAAACTGAAAACAGAAGCACAAGTTTTAGCATTGAGTTTGTTACAATTAGTAGACAAAGTTTTAAAAGAAACGTACCACCAAGGCTCTTGGCTGCATCTTTTAGACTACCAGCAAAATATTGCTGAAGCACTTCTAGACTGATCGTTTTCTCTGTCTTCCCTCGCTTTCTTTCTGATTTCTTCTCAGTTTTGGCTTCCGGTGAAGGATTAAGCGTTTGAAACCTCTCAAACCCATTAGCAACTTCGTTGTCCTCCACAGGGTCAGGGTTTAAGGTCAGGTTCTGCTCAGGTGCGTTGAGCTGGAGATAATCCTTAGAGATTGGTATATGGATTGGTTCAAGTTTTGAGTAAACCATTCCGTCCTCTGAAGCTTCTACCAGTTCAATAGACATCTCATTTTCAGTTCCAGAAACCACCTTGAGACTCGAATAGTGCTGCTTCATTGTCTGAAACAGAGAACCCAACAGAGAATCTTGCTCACCCTTGTCGGTGATGGTTGGAGGTAGAAAGAACTCAAGAACATACTCATCGTCTCCCGTATAAGTACTCTTCAAGCAAACAGCGAAACAGCTAGTGAGCTTGAACATGCGTGCATAGTGTACTAACGGGTAATCAGTTTTGCAGAAGCGAGTAACATCTCTACAAAAACAGAGGTTTCCAGAAAGAAAAGCCCTTCCAGCAACACCTTGTCCCTTCTGGAGATGGTGTTCAGCACAAGCGTCTCTGAAACCCCAAACATGAGCGTCCACAACATAAACTGCTAAATCACTAGTGGACATGCAGACTTTCCCCATACAGCTTCCGTCGAAGCTGGAACAGCTTTTCTTAAAACCACCACCAAATGCTAGAACACTACGGTGCCTGCAAGGGACCCATGTCTGAGCTAAAGGCAGCTTGTAGGTCTCGCACACCACAGTCAGTATCTCCAATATCTCAGCCAATGCATTTTGACGACCCTCGTTGCAAATCTGGTATGTGAGAAGTCACAAGGAAATCGAGATTCAAAAGAGGAAAAAACAGCTATATAAAATGGCTCACTCTATTTTTTCATCCAAAAGTAACTTGAAGAAAAATTAAATGAATTACTCTATATATAAACACATTTTTTACTCTATTATAGAGTGGAAAATAGAGTGGGATTAAAGCATTTTTACTCTAAACTCTACTTAAGAGTCAACAAATAGAGTGAATTGGAGATCTTCTAAAACGAACTCAAGACAGTTTTTGAAAGTTTCTATAAGAAAACTCGAGATTTTGACATTGGAGTGGCAACAGGGGGCCGGATTTAGGTCAAGCTCAATGAAATATTAGTCTTGGTTTTCAAAATTGTTTTGACATTTTTTACATAGTGTACGCCTCCAAATTATTTTAAAAAAAGTTCAACAAATGATTTTAAGAAATGTTTATGACCCTCAAATTTTCATTCCGGTCCTGAGTGGCAGCTAACCTGAGTAGATTCGTGATTCAGTATTTCCGAAGTCTTCAGATTCACAGCCTGCAGAATAACAGAAAAGATTAACTAAGATCAAAGGAAACTAATGAGAACCAAAAGAAGAGAGAGTTCAAACCTCAAGGGCTTTACAAACTTTTTCAACCTCAGGTGCATAGTTAATCTTAGGAGAAGTCATAATAAGCTCAACAACCCCAACACAGAGCTGCCGAGAAGGTTCAAAAACAGGCAAAGCCAAAGTCCCCTGAACATTATAATGCAGAGCATGACCCAGCCGTGAGAACTCTTTACTAGAGTAATACTGAACATTAGGTGTCCACTCAGGTAACTTCTTCCTGAAAACGCGGCCGGGGAGCCCAAGCTCCCCCTCGCGTTCACTATCAAGGGAAAACATGTAGGTGAGAGAAACCATCCTGTACTGGTTAAGACCGTTACTATTGGGACCAAGAACAAAAGGCTGTCCCGAGGTTGTGAGAAGATATCGTCCGTTACGGTTTTTCACAGGCGCCCAAACCTGAGCTAGGAGGTGTTGTTGACCGGTTGATTCTTTGAAGAAGCGAAGAGCTTGAGTCATCTTGGCTTTGATGGCACAGTAAGTGTCTGGATTCTCCAACGGCCATGAGGGTGAAGGAAGCGGCTGATGATTGTCCTTTGTGGTGGCAGTTTCGGACTCCGAACCTGCATTTTCGTGAGTTTTTCAGATCAGACAAGATTTTCAAGAATCCGATCTTTGTTTGATTCTTTCGTAGGAGAATATGGTAGACCATATCCCCTGGCATTATTCGAATCTAAAGAGAGAGAGGATGGAGAGTTTACTTGCAAGTAAGAGAGAATAATCGGTGAAGCAAGTGGGAGCTGCTGAGGGAAGTTCACAGGCAGCATCTCCGGGGGAGAAAGACCAGAGAGGAGAGAAAGGTTGTTGTTCTGAAGAAGGGAACCTGTAATTAGAAGCAAAAGAGATCTGATCCAACGGCCAGGAACTGCCGAGATCCAAATCGTCTAGTTCCATATACAACAGTTATTGACGGTTAGACGAGACAAAACAAGTCTCGTCTAAGTAGTTGTAGTGTGGAGGTTTTCACCGCACTTCCTTGTAATCTCCGACGGAAAACAAAATTAAATAGCTTTTCTTCAGCTTCAAGCTCTTAACACAGAAAGAAAGATGAAGCACATAATAAGAGGTAGGAGGACAAGTTGTGAATATTTTAAAATTTTAAAAATAATATTATGCCATAAGACATTTGATTCCACGCTGTACCATTTTACCCCAACCACTAGAATATCTTCCCCATTCATGCTAATTCTATACTTGCTACTATTTTCTTGAATATTATTTTGTGCCATTTCGTAGTATTTTTACTCTAAAACTTAAATGAAACATTGGATAATCCAACCATCTTATTCTATAGTTTTATTACTCTTTTAATTCTAAATACTATTTCTTGACTATTGTGCAAGTTTCTATCACTATAATGATTGACCATCTCTAGAATTGGCTTTGACAATATTCAATACACACAAGGGTATATACTAATATTAATATAATCCATTTTTAGATGCTAACATACGCAAGTAAACACACAAATTGCAGTATATTGAAGCTTTGCATCACATTTTCATAAAGTAATTTATGGGAATATAAGTTTAGACGTTTCTTACATGTCCACCACCAATAAGTTGTCATATCATAGCATTTGTTTAAGAACCTGAAAAAGCTTTCCGATATAGTATTAAATTAAAGACGCAATTAGGCACTAAGTGCTTGTTGCGGGTGAGTAGAATAACAACGACTCACATAACTTATTCCATAATAATGATGGTTCTTAGTAAATAATTATGATAACATAAAGCAATAATTGACCAATAGAAAACAATATTCAAAAGGAATCTCACTTTAGAAATTGATGGTAAAAAGATAGAAACCACTCAGCCACTTTCAACTTCTGCTTACCCAAAGTATTTCATTACTTAAGGCCCCTTTTTTGTAATACACGATTAGTCAACAAAATTATTTTAATTAAGAGTATTTCGTCCAACGTAGTGGGGAGGGTTTACTAATTCTAATATTTCTCGTTTTCCATTATATCTGATTGTTTAAAAGAAAAAGATATGGAAAATCGAGTTTTTCTTTCCTCTTCTAATTATAAAATTACAACTTGTTAGTCAATTGTTAACCCCAAAACAGAAGAAATGCTTGCAACGTAATCCCCCACTTGATTAGTGATTGCCTACGGACAACCCTACCTTCTGACATGTTCATTCTTGGCTAAAACCAAACCAGAGCTAAAAGTCCAAACTGTAACAAACCATTTCCGCGAAAACCAAACCAAACCTAATCTAACCGATATTTCGAATGTCTACGCCTGATTTTTTTAACACCTAAAAACGCATGAAAGAGAGGAGCAAGAACCAAAATGATAAGGAGTGAAATTGAACATAATAAGCAAGAGCCAATCTCATTTGCCAAATCCAATTATCCGAATCTGAGAAATACTGAGCCGCTCCAAATCACAAATCAGTCATTACATGATAACAAAGTTTTATGACCTGAAGATCTTTTTTTTTCTGGTAGCAAGATGAAATAGACGAGAATTGAGTAAAAGTCCACCTTACACGATACGCTCCAGCTCTCTGGCGTAGCTTAGAGTCTGGTTGATGAGTTGCAGAGAAGGAATCTCTTTGCAAGGTGCAGTTTCTTTGGCTTTCTGGAACACAACAAACCCTTCCTTCACTTCCCACTCACGGTGCTCCTATAAGATACCAAAATAGCGTCAAGGGGTCATAAATACGACTCCAAATACTTTGCATAAAGTGTTTGTTCTATTACCTCATTGACATAGGCTAAGAGTTCTTGATCAGAAGAGAAGAGCAACATCTGCCGGGCATCGCTGATAGAGACATAATCATAAGCTTTCTCGCTGCATCCAGCTATCTCGTCTCTGATAACGATGAAAAAGGATGAGATGAAAAAAGATGAGATAACGCATTATATGAGACTGAACTAACTCAGAGAAGGACAGACTTGTTGATGTATACCTGATGGTCTTTGCCAAGAGGTCCATGAAATAGACGTAGGTAGCATCAGGTGCGGTCTGTCTAGCACTGAGGACACGGTTATAGGCACCTTCCATGAAGGACTGCTCAAGCTCAACGGCATGCTTGATGCAAGGATTATCCAGAGTAGCTGATGATAGCAACTCGAGTTCGGTGTGGAATTCAGCAATTCTGTTTTGAACAAGCAGCCTCAGGAGGTTGAGACCCAGGATAAGATTCTCCTGAGGAGATGGTGGAAGACGATTCCTGATGCAGAGAAAGGAAGGTTAGGGGGAAAAAACATGGCAACTAAATGAAAAAAAAAATGAAGAAGAGTTTTAGAGAGTAGGGGGGGTAATAGATGGGGGTCAACCTGGCATCGACATAGTAGGGTTTGAGCTGGAAGAAATCTCTCTCGAAAGCATCTTGATCCTCTGTTTTCACGCTCAGAACAACCGCGTGCTCATAAATGTCCCCTAAATAGTTTCATAATCGTCAATTATATATAAGAAAGAGCAACAATAAGCTAGTTACTCAATCCAAATCATGCATGCTTCAGAATGCAAATAAATCATGCATACTCCAGTTCAAGTTGTCTAAAGAAGAGACCTATAACACATTCCCTCAGGGTTTGTGACTCTTGAGAGGTATAAATAACCCAAATAAACTAAATAAGGCCATGTGTTCATGAGAAAAGACAAATTCGAAATACTAGTAGTCCATGAAATTGATGGGGACAGCAAAACAATACACTTTGACTTGCAATAGATATTTCATTATGTGGAGGATGAGCTAATAGAGAAAAGGAGATAAACATTACTAGCAAGAGTGAGCTCGTGAGCAGCATTTGGAGTATTCTCAAACAAAGGAGGAAGACTTGTGAATTTGGTTAGAAGAACCTGAAATATACACAACATTAACAAAGATTCAAAGAGCCATCATCCCAACTCAGACAATTCTATTTCAATCGAAACTAAGCAAGATCCTCAACACATTGATTATCTAAACTCTCTTATTAATAAGGCAAAGCTCTCGTAGATCCGAACCCTCGCGACACTGCCCAACAGTTTTCCCTCACCAAAGTGAAATCGAATCGAAGTTAGGGTTTAAAGAGAGAGTACATACCTTGAGTCGAGAGAGTAGATCACTACAGGTACTGTAATCCTTCCTCACAAAGGCCGCCTTGAATCTCTCAAACTGCTGCGATACTTCCGTAAGCTGCGGATCCATTCCTTTCTTCTTTTTCCGGCGACGATTCTTCTTCTTTCGCGAACTGGCTTATTTGCAAAGAAAGAGATATCGAGAGAGAGAGAGAGAGGCACAGTTATAATATGGCTTTAACAAAACATAGGCCTTTAATGGGCCGAGTCGATCTAAAAGGCCCAAAGTGTACATTAGCATTCCGACTAACGTGTACACACATCATCTTCATCATCTCTTATCCAATAATCACCCCATTCGCCTCTTTGCTTTCTGCTTGTGTTTCTTCCTGCTACTTAGCTCTCATCCATCTCAGATAACAACAATGGTGGCGTCTTCGCTATGCCTTTCGAATGCTCCTGTTTGCCCTCACTCTCTTCCTAGAATTTCATCGCAGCCACTCCTCTCTTTCTCCCATTCCCTCAGGCCTTTCATTTCCAAGTCCAGACCTTTGGCCTCGCAGAAGAAGAGAGAGAACTCTTGCATACTCGTGGTGAAATCACAGGCTCTTGATTTCTCAGGCACTTTCTTTGAAGGTGGATTCGGGTCAGACGACGACCCTACTTCTCCTTCCGTCTCAACTGCACTTGAGGACAAACCCGAACCTCAATGCCCACCTGGGCTTAGACAGTACGAAACTATGGCTGTCTTGAGACCCGACATGTCTGAAGATGAGCGCCTTGGTCTCACCCAGAAGTACGAAGAGGTAAGAAGTCTCCAAAATTTCATGTTTTCAGTTTAATCAGTAGAAATTAAGTTTTATGGTGGGAAATTAGAGAGAGAAAGAAGAAATTTTTGGGATTAAAATGACTGTTTGATGAGTAGAAATTAATCTTATCGGTGTCCTCTTTGTTTAAAAGAATCTTTGTGTTTGTTCTTGCACATTGATTACAAAACAAAATTAATAGAGCATGTTTACATGTATTAGTCGCAGTTAATCCTTTCTTCTTCTCGAATGTTTGTAGCAATCCGCAGTCACAAGTTGAAATAAAAGGTTTTAGCTTTCCTGGAACATATCTCATCCTTTTGTAGGCTGTGGATTATTCTAGTCCTAACCACTACAAGGCTCGTACAAGCTATAAGGACTTTTACACAATTCTTGGAATTATTTGTTTGATATATTGTTGGTTTTGTTATGGCAGTTGCTTGTGGCTGGGGGTGGAATGTATGTGGAAGTGTTCAACAGAGGAGTGATTCCATTGGCTTACAGCATCCGAAAGAAGAACAAAGCCGGAGAGACCAACACTTACTTGGATGGAATCTACCTCCTCTTCACTTACTTCACCAAACCCGAATCCATCACTCCCCTTGAGTCCGTTCTCACTGCCGATGACGACGTTATCCGGTCTTCTTCCTTCAAAATCAAGAAGAGGAAGTACAACTAAAAGAGACCATCAGAATTGTTGTATGTGTATGTGAGAAAAGTTCAGTTTCTTTTTTTAATTCTGTGTTTCATTCGGACAAAAGCATATCTATCATCCTTAATTGGTTCGGTGTTTGTGTATCTTTTCTTTGTGAAATGCTCTGTGTACTTGTGTTACAGAGTGTGAGAAATTCTGATGCAAACTTTGAGAAACATGCATAATATATGCTTTTGCAAAAACAAATGTTAAACTCTATACCACTATAACTTAATTTATATAATCCATACTCATGTTATCAGGGCCGTTAGAGATTTCAACAACTAACTTTTACAATTTCGAGACAATTTAGCTTCTCCAAGATTTGCTTCATCTGTTTCAGCTCTCTCAAACTTCCCTGAAATCTCTAGCACCTTGACCAACAGCATACTGTCTCCTTTTGCTTCATACGGATTTAACGTATCCACACGAATCTGTAACTCTGTGCACAGTACACTGAAGCCTGAAGAAACAGCCGTTTGACATATAAAACGGCAACAGCAGAGTAGAAATTTATTATGTTTCTCATTTGTTGGGTCAAAATATCAATTAGATGACTAGATTTGGGGAGTTGTCAATAAGGAGTGGCACCTTGATATAGTAAAGATCATAACCATTAAAAAATAGATACAAATGACTGACCTTGCAAGCTAGTATTAGAATGATTCTCATGCGTGCATTGTATAGCCTTAGTTTTCAAACACTATAAGAAATCATCAAGCCTTGTCACATTACAAAATAGGAGTATTCATTTTATTATTCATCTTGTGTATTCATCTTCTTTTAATTAACAAAACAAACAGGGCAACGTATCAATCCATTCTCATTACACTTGAAACACTTTTCCCAACCTTCTCCCTTCGCCGCAACCTTACAGCTCCCCCCACACTCCAAACAAGGAACCCACCTCGCTCCTCCACACCCTTCACACGTCACCCTCCCTTCCTCCCCTACTCTCTCCACACGTGCCCACCTCAACACTCTCCCCAACTTCCCGTTCTCGTTCATCACCGTCACCTCCGCCGCTCCTCCCAAATACCTCCCCTTCACAAACACTCTCGGCGGCGCCACAGTCGCTTCCTCCTGGAGAAGCTCCTTGAGCTCGCTCAACACTCCAGCGTCTAAAGACACGTCCCTCTCGTCAACCACAACCCCTTGCTGCTCCATGATCGCCCTCACGCGCATACAATCCTCGTAAGTCCGACGCACCCCTTGCAACGACGTCGTGTACACCACCAACCCGTCCCCTCCTCCGGGAGGACACTTCTCAGGAAACTCCCTGAGTGGGTCCCAGTTCATAACCGGTTTCTTGTTCCCTTCTTTCTCCCTCCGCTCCCTGTCTCTCAGCACGAATATGTTCTCCTTCACCGACCGTGGTCCACCTGAGTGGGACTGAGTCGGAGCCGACTCTGTCCCTTGTCTTAACTCCGACATGGACTCTGTTTTTTTTAGCTTCACGGTCGTTGTCGGGTTCTGCGCGGCGATTTGTTTCCTCGCCTTCGTCTCTAACTCGTCCAGTGTGTGGAACGATGCGCTCTTCCTCGGAAGCCGTCGCGGAGGAGTCGCCGGAGGCTCGACGGTGACGACGGCTTCGGTCGGTTTAACATCGGCTGGTTTAAGGTGTGTTTCGAGAGATTTGATGACCTCGTCCCATGTTTTAGGAGCGTCGTCGTCACCTTCCTCGACGGCGATTGGCGCGGCGGCGCTTGTGTGTTTTTCGTCATCGTTGTCATGTTCGAACTTGAGCCATGGCTCTTCGATGGAGTTGATGTTAAACACGGCGAAACTAGACGGCGCTGGTTTGTAGACGTCGGAGACAACGTTGCCTTTCACTTGCTTAGACGATGCACAACCCATTTCAGTAGATTTTTTTTTATTTTCTTTGAATGAGTGTGTGTGTTGATTATATGAAGAAAATAAAAAAAAAATGATGGGGTAGAATTTTATGTGGTGTGTGCCCTTTCCCTTATCCAAATATTTATGCAGAGTTATAACAACTCATATAATTGTGGATTTATTTGAGTCCATGAATGAATATGTGAAACGATTATAATGACCACAAAGTGTTTATGTGGTTTCTGTGCATCAACGTGGTGAGTCCATCTCATTTTTTCACATCCTCCAGTTGTCTCTCATTACCAAGAAAAAATGCAAAAATGTCATAATCATTTGAAGCATATACTGTCATAAAAACGTAATACTGGAAAATAGACCAATCAAAATGTAATTAATAAGCTTTTAAAAAAAAAGCTGAGTTGAGTTACAATAGAAATCAAACCAAAAGACACAAATTCTATTTTTTGGTAACCCCCAACCAAAAGACACAAGTTCGAAAAACACTAAAACCAAACCATATATGAAAACATCGGAATCTAAGCAGCTTCGTCTTCCTTCTTGGTCTTGTTCTTCTTCTTCTTTTTCTTAGTTGATTTCTCGCTTCCTCCTTCGATGTCTTGCACAATCTGATCATGGTGCTTTCCCATCTCACTCTCGATTGTCAATATCGCTTTCTCGATGAAGCTCTCCACGGCCTCTCTCACGATGAGCTTGTACGGTTCTTTGGAAAGATCGAGATCCAACTCAGCGGAAGCTTCTTCTCGGGCCTTAAGCTCTGTGATCTGATACAGACTAGATCGTTTCAAGATCTTATTCACCGTCGTCTTTATCTTCTTCTTCAGATCTTTATCGATCACCACAACTTCTTTCGCTTCGTCCTCCATTGATTTCGGTGGCGTACGTGCTAGCTTCCAGACGGCTCTCGTTAGGGTTTTGAGTGTCTCTCTCAACTCCCAAGTCACTTTAATTTCATAAAACCCTCTTGAACATAATATATTATATGGGCCAATAAAAAATGTACAGATGGGTCAAAAATCTTCAAGCCTAAACCGTTTCCTCTCAAGTCTCAAGCCTTAAATTTCATTTAAACCCTCTCTAACATTATATATAAAGTGGGCTCATACATATGGGCGGAAAATGTTCAAGCCCAAACAGTTTTTCTCTTCATTATGCAGATCACTTATTTATAACTGAAATGAACAAAAATTGTTTCCAAATTGCGAAGTGATTTTTCGCAACGCAGCTCTCACGTTAAAAGTTAGAGTGGTTAATATCGTTTATACCCTTAAAGAATAAATATATAAATTATCCAATAATAAAAATGAAACTAATATTTATTCGATTAAATAAATGATTTAAATTACTAACAATGATAAGAATTATCCATAATCTAAATATATATTTAAAAATAAAAAAGATAATTCCTATATATATTGTGTTGTTATCTAAAAAGTATATTTAGTCAAAAAATTAAAAAACAGAAAACACAAATAAATATTCATAAAGTAAAATTTTTAATTGTATATAATTGAAAATAGAAAATTAAAAAATTATAATCCGTAATTATTTTCAAATTAAAATAATATAATATAAGGATATATATTTGTGAAGTTATTTTCGCCTCTGGGCTCACACGTTAAATTAACTTTTTTATATAATTAAATCTTAAACATAAATTAATCATAATAAAATAAAAGATCATTCAAAAAGAAATAAAATATGTATTTGACAAAAATAAATTTTAAATATATTGTATTATTATCCAAACTAATATTGTTCTTTCTGTAAGATCAATTTTTGAATGTATATTTCTTGATTCAAATTTTCAAATTGAAAGATAAATTTCTATATTTTTATCAATTAAGAAGAAAGGAAATAAACTAGTGTTTTTTAAAGCTTAAACGGAAGGAGTAGATTTATTTTAATTTGTGAATAACTTTATCATGTAAAAAAAGTTTCATATTTTAGGTTAAATTTTTTGGATGCAAATAATCATTTATTTAGATGATTTTTTAAATTGATTTAAAGATAATTAAGCCCGCATGTACCGACAAAACACCTAGTTTATAACTGAAATGAACAAAAATTGTTTCCAAATCCAAATCTTTTTTTTTTTTGAACAGCACAGAGGGGTAAAATTAACAGATAAATAAAAACTAGAATATAGGAAATAATACATAGAAGATATTCATACACATTCAGGTTTTTGGATGGAAAATCAGTTTTTATTGGATCTATGTCTTTCAAAGATACATTTTTAGATACGTATATAAGTGTCAATTAACTCTCTTAGATACCGAAAAAATATTTGAAAAGAGCAATAAATACAGCACAAAAGAACTTATAAGTCGGTTTGACCAAAAAAAAAAGAACTTATGAGTCGCTGCCAAAATAGAAACCTTGAAAATAGACCCCAAGACAAGAATTAACAAAACATAAAACAATGGAGGAAAATCCATCTTCACCTTAAAATCTAAATCTGTACTTTGCATACCCACACTAAATTAGCCTATGTCACTTTATCTCCACATAAAATCAGTCCATATAAGCTAAATCTCGACACAAGGTTAGTGTATCTGGCTATATCACCATACAAGGTTATAACTATAGTTGACTACTAGAATATTACCCGCGCTAAACACGGATTATATTTTGATTATGATATTACTTACTTAAATTCCTCTTTTGCATACTTGTGAAAATTTATATTTTGTTATTGATGCTTATAATATTTTGTTTTAAATATAACATAGTAATTAAAAGTATAGTTTTTTACTTCTATCATATTTAAAACTTTTAGAGTTCTATTTTATATTTCTGAATATAAGATCAATAACATCTTAGACCGTTAGATATATTAATTGTTGAGCATTAGAAGAGTAAATTAGTACAAATTGTAAAATTTTATTTTAGTCATGCTATGTTATAACTTCTAATATATGTTTTAAACTCGAAACCATGATTTTGATAGTTTATATAATATTTAAATTTAATTAAATGTCTATTAAGTTTAATGTCTATTTTATTTCTATAAATAAAACCTGTAATTTAGATGATTTTGGGGTATTCTATAAAAAAAGTAAACTAAATATATATAATTTTACTATAGTTGATAAAACATCTTCTGATATCTTTTTGTTAAGATGCGAATTTTGAAACAAAATTGAAATGTTTAGCACGTGAAATAGTTTAGAAAATGGTGTATGCCTCAGTTTATATGTTAACACCATGAATATGGTGTTGACATGAAGGAATTACTAAGATAAGAAGAGATGACCATTGGTACGAGCGTGATTATGAAGAACTTGACCATATGGTCAACTACAAATAAGATGACCATTGGTACAAGCGTGACCATGAAGATCTTGACTATATGGTCAACTTCAAATAAGATGACCATGGGTGCAAACCTTGACCATGATGGAAGGAGACCATATGGGCAAATTCAAATTCTCTTCTTCTGCTCTTCCCCACGTGCATTTGACCGTTGTGTATCAACTTGTATTATTTTAATTATTTTTATTTCAGGCCACTTGCCTACTTATCTTGCTGTAATGCACATTGATTTAATGAAGGAAAAAGATTTCCTCCTTCTATTCTTCTTAACTCACGAAATTCTCTCTCTCTCTCTCTCTCTCTCTCTCTCTCTCTCTCTCTCTTATTTGTTCTTCATTCTCCAGCAACAATATTTTCTTAATCTCTAATTCTAACATGGTATCAGAGCATTCTTGCTCTTGAGACCACTCATTCTCTATTATTCTTTGTGTTTCCGCAAATCTCTGATCATTTTCATTCTATTTTTGGAAAAGTTCTTGGTGTTCTTCAGCTGTTCTTATTTTCCAGAAAAAAAAAATTTGCCAGAAATGGAAACTCACACCAAAATTGTCATACATGTAACTCTGAAGGGGCCAAACTATTTTTTATGGTCAAGACAGCACTAGGAGGCAGAGGTCTTTGGGAGTGTGTTGCTGAGGGCAAGATAACGAAACAAACTATCCTAGGAGAGGATAGTAAGGATGTGATGGCTGCGGCTAAAGAAGATGGGAAGAAGGAGACTCAAGCGGATCTTATGGTTCTCTCCATCATCCATAATAGCCTTGAACCATCCATCTTGGAGGCTTACTCCTACTGTGAAACCTCCAAGGAGCTGTGGGATACACTTCAGAATGTCTATGGGAACATCTCCAACATCAGCTGTGTGTTTGAAGTCAAGAGGGCTATCAACACTCTTACCCAAGAGGACTCGGATTTCTCTAAGCATTTTAGATCCCTGTGGGCAGAGCTGGAGATGCTGAGGCCATCTAGTGTTGATCCTGAAGTGTTAAATGAGAGAAAGGAACAAGATAAAGTGTTTGCTTTACTCTTTACTCTCAATCCAGTGTATGGTGGCTTAATCAAGCACATTCTGAGGAGTGACAAGCTGCCATCTCTTGAGGAGCTGTGCGCTCAGATACAAAAAGNAAGTGTTAAATGAGAGAAAGGAACAAGATAAAGTGTTTGCTTTACTCTTTACTCTCAATCCAGTGTATGGTGGCTTAATCAAGCACATTCTGAGGAGTGACAAGCTGCCATCTCTTGAGGAGCTGTGCGCTCAGATACAAAAAGAACAAGGCTCAGTGGAGCTCTTTGGAGGCAAAGGAGACCTCATTCTTGCAAACAAGCCACTGGAGCAGACGACCATGTTGAGGGTGCTGCAAACAAAGACTATTACAAACCACCCGGAGCTGATAAAAAGGTGTGGGAGTGTGATCATTGCAAGAAGAAGGGACATGGCACGGACAAGTGCTGGATTCTTCACCCACATCTCAAGCCACAGAAGTTCAGAACTGATGCAAGAGCTAACTTCTCTGGTGATGTAGGCGAACCATCTACTCCACGGGTCACTGAGAATGCTGGTGAGAGAAAGGATGAGACCATCAAGAAGTCTGACCTTGAGGCACTCATCAAAGCCCTAAAAGAGTCTGGTAACACACTCGGTTTCTCTCTAAATGCATCATATAAATTGTCTAGAACACCTAGTGCTCTAACCACAAATATGAATGCATTTGATATGGTTAAACCTTTAGTAATATACTCAGGAGCTTCTNAATGCATCATATAAATTGTCTAGAACACCTAGTGCTCTAACCACAAATATGAATGCATTTGATATGGTTAAACCTTTAGTAATATACTCAGGAGCTTCTCACCACATGATTAGTGATGCTAAGCTGATTAATAACATTAAACCTATAGTGGGGAATGTTAGAATTGCTAATGGAGATAGAATCCCTATTAAAGGTGAAGAAACCATAAAACTGTTTGATAGAGATACCAAAGCATTTTACATGCCAACCTTTGCATCAAATTTACTATCAGTTAAAAGGGTGACTACTGATTTAAATTGCAATGTAATATTTAGTCCTAATGAGGTTATGTTTCAGGATATTGAGACTCTTAAGTTGATTGGAAAAGGTGTTACAAAGGAGGACTTGTACCTACTTGAAGACATCAAGACCAGTTCTAATTTATCTGCTTTTAGTTCAATTCCTGTTTTAGATAATGATGTATTGTGGCATGCTATGCTAGGCCATCCACATACTCGTGCACTGAACCTTTTATTACCTCATGTTTCTTTCAAAAATGATGACTGTGAAGCTTGTATCCTTGGTAAACATTGCAAAACTGTCTTCCCTAAGTCATATACTATCTATGAAAATTGTTTTGATCTTATACATTCTGATGTCTGGACAGCACCAAGCCTTTCTAGGGAGAGTCATAGATATTTTGTCACATTTATTGATCAAAAATCTAAGTACACTTGGTTAACTATGATTAAAACTAAAGATAGAGTGCTTGATGCTTTCATTAATTTCCAGAGCTACATAACTAATCATTTCAATGTTAAGATCAAAATATTCAGGTCAGATAATGGGGGAGAATACACAAGTGTTGCATTCAAAAGCCACCTT